TTGTCCCTCAGCAACCCACACAGAAGCCCTGGGGGCACCGGGTCTGGCCCACCCGTCCAGCCCACTAGGTGCAACTCCTTAAAACACTGGCAAGTAGGCAGCTCCAAAATTGGGCAGGCCAGGTCCACTGCAGGCTCCCAAGGGGGAAAGGAATGGTACCCACTCTCTGTAGGAAACTCAGGGTGCCGCATGCCCTCCCAGGAAGAGTGGCCTGCTTGCCAAACTCCTGGTTCTAACCACTTTCCCTGTTTCAGTGGGTGGGGAAGGGACAGGGAGGGAAGCATCTAAATGGAGGAAAGCCAACTGTCTGGCCTTCTGTGACACTCTTCTTGGAGGGGACCCCACACAGGGTGTCCAGCTCCCAGTAGTGTCCTTTACACAAAAAGGAGCCAGTTTAGGATCGCATACACATACTGCATTTCACTGGCATGTCTGTCCAGGCACCTTCAGTCTGGAACACTTGACTTTTGTGACCTTGACACTTTTGAAGATCAAAGGGCAGTTATTTTGCAAAATATCCAGTTTTGCTTATCTGCTGTTTTTTATATTATACATGTTCATGTTATGCATATTACACATTTTTTTTCATATTTAGGCTACACATCTTTAGCAAGAATATAACAGAAGTGATACTCTGTTCTTGTTATTGAGTCCTATGAGGTAGCATACAATTTTAGATTTTTTCTAATGAGATGGCTGCTAGACTTCTTGTAAAGCTACTTTTCCTTTGTAATTAACAAGTATGTGTAGCAAGAGCGACAAATTCAAGGCACTATGGACTTATGGTTCCCTAATTTATCCATTGGATTATAATCTGCTATCACTGTTTACATCTTTCAAAGTGGCCTTCATTTAGCATACCCCCATTATTCTTGAGCACTTCCTTTCCTTCTGGTGTAAGATGTTTCACGTTCAATTCTTACCTGCTCTATCACAAGACTGAAATAAGCCATTTCTCCAAGGATCCCCGGTTCTATTTAGTAGAGTATGGTATTAGAAACCAAGGTCTGGACACCGCATAGTTTATTGCTGTTTGGTTCTCATTACTCCCATGCCATCTCAGTGGACAAGCCAGGAGAGACACATACACATATGTATACACTCCTCAATCTCTGTTTATATGTATTACTGTATCCTAACTGTGTGTACAACAACCATGAGTTTATACTCATACCTTCAATTCTAGTCTAATAAGTTTAATTTTGTTCTAGTTTCCTTCTTTTTCATATTTGTAACTCCCTTCCCCAACCATGAGAAACTCAACTCTCTCCTTATCCTTAGTGTATTTCCTTACTTGATTAATTCCCCCATGTGCCCAGCGTCCCATTGCTGCTGCAGCTCCTTTTCCCATATGCGTATTCTCCTTACCTAACATAGGCTCTGACAGCCTGCATCAGGTCACAGCCTAACATAAGACGCTGGTGGTTGTTTCTGGGGAGAGGAGCTGTGTAGCTGAGTGGTAGGAAAGAAGGAAGATTCAGTTCCAGAACTTGTTTACACCCTGTGCATCAAGATCAACAGTGTTTTTCTTATTCGTAGTAGCCCTAAGTTTATATGGAGATACTATGACACCATGAAAACAAAATAAGGTCTGAGTCTCAAAAGATGTTGCTAGGCTATGTGGGTTCCATTTAGTTCCATTCAGTTCCATCTCACTCACTCAATAGCTTCCTATTTGCCTCTTAAAAATAAGGAACTACACCACTTTTCTGGACTAACTTCAAACAAACTACCTGCATCTCTGACCTTAAGCATTTATATTTGTTGTTTTTATTGGTAGCCAGAAAAGAGAGCCAAAGTAATTAATGAGAGGAACTACCTTGTATCCAAATAGAAATCAAAATCCAGTTTAGGTTTAATCATACCACAAAGAGCTAGAAATTCTATACAACTCAATTCAGCATTTATTGAGCATTTATTGAGTACATAAGTTATGTACCCCAAATTTTAAGATAAAGTCCTTTAAGGAGCCCTCTATATTTTTTTAAGTATGTGTTTGAGTAGAAGGGAACAGCAAACACATACAAAGAATAAAGCATGAGAAGATTGTAATAATTATTAGATAAATAGAGGAGAGCAAAATTTACAGAGCACCTGGACCTTGTTGGTTTGGAAGTTTGCTATGGTTTAAATGTGGTTTGTATCCACCAAAACTCATGCTGAAATTTGTTCTGCTACACAGCAGCGGTGGGAGTTGGGGCCTAGTAGTGGTATTTGGGTCATGTGGATGGATCCCTCAGTAATAGATTAATGCCCTTTTACCAGGGTGAGTACTTACTCTACTGAGAATGAATGAATTCCTGAGAGAAAGCAGATTATTAAAAGAGTCTTGCTTCCTGTCTTGCCATGTGATCTCTTTGCATATGCCCACTTTGTTTCTGCTTTCCACCACAAGACCCTCCCCAGGTGCAGATGCCCAGTCTTGAACTTTCCAGACACTAGAATCATGAGCCAAATAAACTTCTTTTCTTTGTAAATTACCAAGCCTCAGGTATTATAGCAGCACTAAAAGGATAAAGGCCGAGGTCTAGATAATTTACCTGAATAATAAGATAAAAATGATAATTTAGTCAAAAATGTCCAAACACAGGGGTTTTAAATACTCAGTTTAATTTTAGACAACTGTTTCTGTTTTCCCAAGTTTGTTGTAGAAAAAATTTATGTCATCCTAAATAATCAACAGTAGAGTACTAAAAAGTTAATATTACTTAAGTCTTTTAATTATATGTATAAAAAATAAAAACATAGACTAAACTAGAGCAAATAGATATATTTTCTTTTTTTTTTTTTAGTAGCTGGGACTACAGGCGCCCGCCACAACGCCCGGCTATTTTTTTGTTGCAGTTTGGCTGGGGCTGGGTTTGAACCCGCCACCCTCGGCATATGGGGCCGGCGCCTTACTCACTGAGCCATAGGCGCCTCCCTATTTTCTTAAATAGTAAAAGTGATCAGAATAAAATGTCTTGACATTTTTATCCTTTAAAAAAAAAAAAAAATATATATATATATATATAGGTTATTATGAAAGAAATACATTCATAGGAATCTCCCCAAAAGAAATGAAAACATACATTCACATGTATGAATGTATGTATGTTTTCATTCATAGTATTTGAATGAAACATTAATGTTCATAGGAACATTATTCATACTAGCTCCGAACTAGAAATAGTTCAAACGTCTGTCCGCTGGTGAGTGTATAAACAAAATGTGGTGTAACCGTGCAGGAGAATGTTGTTCACCAGTGAGAAGGAATTAACTACTAATGCGTGTTTCATCATGGATGAACCTCAAAAACATGTCAATGGAAGAAGATAGAAACAAAAGACCACATGTTGATTCTGTATATTAAATGTTAAGAGGCTCATTTATAGAAACAGAAAATAGATGGTTGATCTAAGAGTGGTGGCAGGAAATTACTGCAGACAGCTCTCAAGGAACTTGATGGGTGATGGAGACATAGTGATGATTGTACAACTCTATAAATGTATTAAGATCATTGAATTGTATGCTTCCAATTAGACAGATTTCATGTTACATAGGTTATACCTTAATTAAAAGCTGTTTAATAAAAGAAATACATAGTCATTATAAAAAATACTTGTAAGCAAAAACAAGGGGGCACTTTAAATGAATTCCTCCCAGTCACCCTCATCTAGGAGTAAATAATTCCAAATTCTCTTCAGTGCATAGATCTTATTTTTCTTCAGAAACAGAATTGTATAATGTTCACTTGAATATTCCCAAGTTAGGAACCTCCCTGACAGAAATAACACAGTAAAGGAAAACAAATACACAGTAAAGGGCAAGACAAATAGTCAAGTATCACAGAAATCTGAGATGAAATTCAGCAGAATGGGAATGCAAATTGTTCCTGGATTGGAAGACAGATCAATTGCCTTAGTATTTCAGTAGCATAATTCTGATTACGGAGTTAAGATAGGGTATAATTTGGGGCATCATTTTTTCTTTTAAATTAACTGATTTTTCATAAACCTTATCCTAGTTATTCATAAATCTGTGTAACTCTATAAATGAGTAAAAAGGTTTTTTTTTTTTTGTTTCTTTTGACCTTCTACAAAGGCCTACAGCAGTGAATTCTTTGATTTCAAAATACGGATTTCAGGAGCAGCTTCTTTACTGTGAGTTTGGTTTAAATTATGTTTACTTAGCTGCTAAATAGATTGTTAATATAAAATTTACGAATTTTAATGTTTTCTCTCTTAATAAAACTTAATGTAAATGAAATTTATTCCCTAGTTTGAAAAAGTTTCTATATGTCAATTTTTATATTTGTATCTATTTGTTATATCCTGCAAATCTTTAATATTGGTTGAGCCTAGAAGAGTAGAATGAAAAGAACAGGTATGTATCAATATATACGTATAAACACAGTTATACATACAGAGAGATTTTAAATGGTAGGTGTAAGAATAATTTTTCCTGGCTTGACACCCATAACACAGTGGTTACGGCGCCAGCCATATACACCAAGGGTGTGGGGTTTGAACCTGGCCCAGGCCAGCTAACCAATAATGACAACTGGAACAAAAAATATCCGGGTGTTGTGCCAGGTGCCTATAGTCCAAGCTACTTGGGAGGCTGAGGCAAGAGAATTGCTTAAGCCCAAGAGCTTAAGGTTGCTGTGAGTTGTGACACTACAGCACTCTATAGAGAGCGACATCATGAGACTCTGTCTCAAAAAAAATAATTTTTCCTTTGTTTCTTAAAGTTTTTTTAATGCATTTTCTAATATGAATGTATTTAGTGTTTCACTAATAAAATTTTTACAGACTTTATAACAATAAAAATATATCCTTAGCATTCAAGCAACATAATAATGTCTCTAAAATAACAGTGGTTCATTGTATGTTTTATGTGTTTGTGAAGCTCTTATGAGGTTCTGGAGTTTTGGGGGGTTTTTTTAATGCTTTTCTTAGAATAATTTTTTAAAAGCAGTGATTTGATCTTTCAACTTACATATTTTGTTCAAATGTAAGAACTAAAGTGAAGCATGAAAAAGAAAGAATTCAGTTATTATACATGTAGAACCAAATATGAATTCTCATTCATTGTATTTTTAAAAGTATGAACTTTATAAAATTTTTGTTTAAGACAGATTTAAAATTAAATTGTGACTTTTTTTGAATCTACATAAATTGAGCATTAGTGTGATTTCATTATAATGTAAAGTTCTTTAAGTAATAATTGATAACTTCACAGTTTTGGCCAGAATTTAGGTGCTTCAGTTTAAATAGTGGAAACAAGTAACTTATAAAAATGTTCATAATTTTATTTCATACCATTGATTCTAATATGGTCCAGGTGTCTTGATTTTTCTAAATACCAGAAAATTAAAGTTGTTAACACTATTGACTATATATTATCTATTCTCAAAATATTTTATCATCTACTTTTAAACAAATCATGAAATAATTAATGGCATGCTGAATTTTTTTTCCAAAATTACTCAAACTATTTCAATTTGTTGCTGTTAACTAGTTTGAGTCACAAGTTCAACACCTATAGCTTGTTGCCAAAATTTTCCTAAATTTATGACCTAAAAATTCTCATAAATGATAGGAAAGTGTTGTCTAAAATCTAATACCTTCATTTAAACTATTTAAACTTTAAATTGGTTTTTAACAGGGTAAGATTAGGTAAATTATGATATCATTAAGTGCTTTACTTTTTAAGATTCATACCTGCTTTGATTTATTGGTATTTGTATGGGTTTGTTTTAAGCTGTACTTGAGGAACTTGTTAACAGTGGACGCTTACGAGGCACCGTGGTTGGTGGGCGACAGGATAAAGCCGTGTTCATCCCTGACATCTACTCCCGGACACAGAGTACTTGGGTGGATTCCTTTTTCAGGCAGAATGGCTACCTAGGTAACTTTTTTTCCCTTCACTTTTCTAATACTAAACACATTCTTGTATTGTACTGACCCCAGGGTCCATGGATACCTTCCTGTTATTGATCAGAAGATTATAACGAGTGTAAAAGTGATCACAGTGCAGGTTTCTTTTCTCGGGTCTTGGAACGGACCTAAATTTCATAGTTCATTAATTTTAAGGTAGAAATTTAACAGTAGTTAAATTTAACAATAGTTAACAATTTTAAGGTAGAAAGACGAAAATCTGTTATCGATTATTACCAATCTTCCAGTTATATTAAGATAATATTACTAAACTTCAAGTATTTTTTTAATTTATAAAAGTAATTATATTTATTACATATATATATATATATAT